GTGCCCGTACGTGTTTTTGGGAAATTTGATGGCAGGGGAGCAATGATGGTAAGAGTAGGCACCTTATTAATACTTGTGTTTGTGCTCCTAGTGGACAAACAGTTGGATTCTAATAGTCTTGTTCCCAGTGGTCTCCAAACTGTGGCCCTTGTGGCCCTTTGCTTGCCCTTATCAGGCCCTTCATGGGGACACCAATGATGGGGTACTATTCCTCCCCCCTGACACAATGATGGGGCACTATTCATCTCACTGACACCAATGATGGGGCACTATTCCTCTTACTGACACAAATGATGGGACACTATTCCTCCCACTGACACCAATGACACTATTCCTCTTACTGACACAAATGATGGGGCACTATTCCTCCCACTGACACCAATGATGGGGCACTATTCCTCCCACTGAACACCAACTGGGGCATACCTCCCATGACACCAATGGGGCACTATTCCTCCCACTGACACCAATGATGGGGCACTATTCCTCCCACTGACACCAATGATGGGGCACTATTCCTCCCAATGACACCAATGATGGGTGCTATTCCTCCCACTGATACACCAATGATGGGGCGCTATTCCTCCCACTGACACCAATGATGGGGCACTATTCCTCCCACTGACACCAATGATGGACACCAATGATGGGGCACTATTCCTCCCAATGACACCAATGATGAGGCACTATTCCTCCCACACCAAATGATACCCTCCCAATGACACCAATGATGGCACTATTCCTCCCACTGACACCAATGATGGGGCACTATTCCTCCCAATGACACCAATGATGAGGCACTATTCCTCCCACTGACACCAATGATGGGGCACTATTCCTCCCACTGACACCAATGATGGGCACTATTCCTCCCACTGACACCAATGATGGGGCACTATCCTCCCACTGACACCAATGATGGGGCACTATTCCTCCCACTGACACCAATGATGGGGCACTATTCCTCCCAATGACACCAATGATGGAGCACTATTCCTCCCACTGATACCAATGATGGGGCACTATTCCTCCCACTGACACCAATGATGGGGCACTATTCCTCCCACTGACACCAATGATGGGCACTATTCCTCCCAATGACACCAATGATGAGGCACTATTCCTCCCACTGATACCAATGATGGGGCACTATTCCTCCCACTGACACCAATGTTATTGAACTATTCCTCTCGATCACACCAATAGTATGGAACTATTCTTCCCACTGACACTAATAATGGGGGACTATTCCTCCCACTAATCACAATGATGAGGCGTTGTTTATTCCCATTGACGCCAGGACATTTTATACTTACACTGGCCCCCTCAAAGTTTGAAGGACAGTAAACTGGCCCTTTGTTCAGAAAGTTTGGAGTCCCCTGTCCTAGAGTATGTGAGAGAAGGACATGGCATCAATGCCTGGTGAGGTACTTAGAAGAGCACGGAGTTGTGATATTGAATGCCACAGGAGGGTTATGTGAGAGTATAGAATTTCTCTCCTTTTTATGTTTTTGATTTGAAATGTAACCTGAGATCATTCTTAAAACTCTTGGACTAAAACCAACTTGTACTTAAAGCAGAACTAAACTACATCTGTGCACCATAAACCAACAACGGCATTTAATTTATTTTTAATGTTCAAAACAAAAACTCACCCATCCATCGCCATACTTTATTTTTGTTGAGAAATCATTAAAGAAAAAAAACACCTCCTAGCATTTCTAGTAGGGTTGGGCTTGATGTTCAACTCAGACATCGGCTGTTTGTGTGTTCAGCAAACACACAAACGGTTAGGGCATTAGGGCATTATTGTGATTGGCCAAAGCAATGCACCTGACCACAGGTCAAGTGCAATGCTTTGGCCAATCACAGTGCATGATGATGTCACAAGAAGGTGGGGTGAACCCACCCCCTTGTGACATCATCACAGTATTTAAGAACTGTCAGGCTGGCGCAGTGGTCAGACGGCGGGAGCCAGCATCAAGAGCAGAGCGTTTCTTTTTTTTCGGGTCGGCGGTGGTGGCATCGTGATTGACGGTGGATCTACTTCGAGGGGCTTTTTTTTCATTTTTGTTTTTAATAAAGTACTTGCCAAAGACTGTCTCCTGTCATTTTTTACACTACACTTTTTGTGAATGAGCAGCGGTACCATGTTCCCCATACTCATTCACATAGGGGGGGGCCATGATCTTGTTAAAGGGGGTTTCCAGATTCCAATAAGCCCCCCCGCCAACAGACCCCCGCGACCACCGGCCACGGTTGCGGGGAAGAGGTCCTTGTCCCCATCAACATGGGAACAAGGTGCTTTGGGGGCAGCCCCACTCTGCACCCCTCATATTGAGGGCATGTGGCCTGGTATGGTTCATGAGGGGGGTGCTTGCTCATCTTCCCCCTTTACTGACCTGCAAGGCTGAATGCTCAGATAGGGGTATGGTATGGATTTTGGGGAGGGACCCCCCCCCCCGCCCCCCCGCCCCGCCCCCCCCCCCCCCCCCCCACGCCGTTTTTTTCCCCCCCCCACGCCGTTTTCCCCCCCACACCGTTTTTTTTTTTAAATTTGAATTGCCGGGCAATGCTGCTGGCAATTTTTTTTTTTACATTCAGCTGTCTGCGGGGAACCCCACTGACAGCTGAAACAGTAAAGAATGTTTCACTACTAAAATACCGCATGACTTAAAAATATATAATTAATGTGGTATGTTAGTAGCTGTGCAGTATCTTACCGCATACCCAGAGTGAATTGTCCCTGTTTGAAGTTCACAGCCGAACTTACATTAAGTTTGAATGTTTGACTGCAAACCGCACAGGGGGGTGTGTTTGGACCATCACTAATTTCTAGCTGTAGCCGTCTCGAATAAGGGCAGATGATTCAAGTAGCATTTACTTCCTGAAATCCCTTTGCCCTTAACTCAGGCAGGCAAGCAGGAGGGTGTGCTTAGCTGAGAAAGCCCCTCCTTCGGATGAAAGAAAAAAATGCCCAAGAAGACTCCTGGGATGTTTGACATCATTATGGCCTAAGCCAGAAACCAGGAAGCAACTAAAGAAAATGTAAAAAAAAAAAAAAGAAAGTTTAACATATGTAAATATAATACACTTTCCTATCTAGTTTAGTTCCACTTTAAAGCTGAATTCCAGGAAACAACATCTTTGAAAAAGTGAAGGCATTCTACGAGTTAACTCCAATGAGATGCCTGCTACTTCCTCGGTTCATCTCTATTATTTAGATCGGACGGGTTTATTGTACTCCAACAGCAGAGCTCCGTCGCTGGACTCAGCTGGTCTCTCGCACCCCAAGTTTAGTTGGTGCAGCTCAATTGGCAATCCATGTGCATTCAAAAAGTGCTCCCAAAGAAAGACCCAAAGAAAAAAGAAACTCTACATGTTTTGCTCCAAAAAACAGAGCTTCGTCAGAAGTATAAAGAATTAAAATACCGTATTTTTCGCTCCATAAGACGCACTTTTTTCCCCCAAAAAAAGGGGGGAAAATGTCAGTGCGTCTTATGGAGCGAATATGGAGCAGCCGGTCCAGTATTTCCACCGCCGCCGTATCAGAATACCGGGCCGGCCGCTCAGCTCTGCAGTGGGACCTTACCTGTTCCTCTATCCAGCGGCGCGTTGTCTTCCCGGCTTCTGTAGTGTGCGTGACAGCCGGGTCCCAAGTGCGCATGCGCAAGAAGCAGTGCTCTTTGTGAATGGTAAGGCGGTACCTGGGACACATGACAGATCCCAGAAGCCGCCGGACCAATCACAAAGCGCAGCGCTTCTCGCTCATGCGCACTGGGCATCCGGCTGTCCGCCGAGCGCCCACACTACAGAAGCCGGGTAGACAGCACGCGGCTGGATAGAGAAACAGGTAAGGTCAAAGAACAACTCAAAGTCAAATTCAGGTACCCGCTCCCCCTCCCTCCCCAAAGGTCAGCAGTCATGTCCTGTACTGTCCGCAGTCTCTGGTCATCTCCTGTACCGTGTCCGCAGTCTCTGGTCATCTCCTGTACCGTGTCCGCAGTCTCTGGTCATCTCCTGTACCGTGTCCGCAGTCTCTGGTCATCTCCTGTACTGTCCGCAGTCTCTGGTCATCTCCTGTACTGTGTCCGCAGTCTCTGGTCATCTCCTGTACTGTGTCCGCAGTCTCTGGTCATCTCCTGTACTGTGTCCGCATTCTCTGGTCATCTCCTGTACTGTGTCCGCAGTCTCTGGTCATCTCCTGTACTGTGTCCGCAGTCTCTGGTCATCTCCTGTACTGTGTCCGCAGTCTCTGGTCATCTCCTGTACTGTCCACAGTCTCTGGTCATCTCCTGTACTGTGTCCGCAGTCTCTGGTCATCTCCTGTACTGTCCCGCAGTCTCTGGTCATCTCCTCTACTATGTCCGCAGTCTCTGGTCATCTCCTGTACTGTCCGCAGTCTCTGGTCATCTCCTCTACTATGTCCGCAGTCTCTGGTCATCTCCTGTACTATGTCCGCAGTCTCTGGTCATCCCATGTACTGTGTCCGCAGTCTCTGGTCATCTCCTGTACTGTGTCCGCAGTCTCTGGTCATCTCCTCTACTATGTCCGCAGTCTCTGGTCATCCCTGTGCTGTCTGCAGTCTCTGGTCATCTCTTGTACTGTGTCCGCAGTCTCTGGTCATCTCCTGTACTGTGTCCGCAGTCTCTGGTCATCTCCTGTACTGTGTCTGCAGTCTCTGGTCATCTCCTGTACTATGTCCGCAGTCTCTGGTCATCTCCTGTACTGTGTCCGCAGTCTCTGGTCATCTCCTGTACTGTGTCCGCAGTCTCTGGTCATCTCCTGTACTATGTCCGCAGTCTCTGTTCATCTCCTCTACTATGTCCGCAGTCTCTGATCATCTCCTGTACTATGTCCGCAGTCTCTGGTCATCTCCTGTACTGTGTCCGCAGTCTCTGGTCATCTCCTGTACTATGTCTGCAGTCCATTGGTTCAGAATTTTTTTTCCTGTTTTCTGCCTCTAAAAACCTGGGTGCGTCTTATGGTCAGGTGCGTCTTATGGAGCAAAAAATACGGTAGGTCACATAGTGGCTGGAAGTTGTGCTCAGCTGCACATGGTGGCAAAATGGCACCTATCATTTGTTTCACCTCTATAAATAGAGATGGCCATTTTAAATAGAGATGGCCGCACATGCTCAGTTCCTCAACAGACACCATCTTGTGGACAAAAAAAAGCTGATAGGTTTATGATCAAACTACAGTGCCTCTTTGTATGGTGTCACTTCATCTAAAAACAGCACGGTATTTGATTTGGTCTGGTGTTATTAACCATTTGGATGTAAGGTTAATGATTGCAATGGTATCCAGTCATACTGTTGTGCGCAGTACATTCCACTCCAATAGGCATTCATTACAGCTGAGTACATTTTTTATATATTTGAATAAAGGTTATATATTTTAGATTCATCAATTGGCCAGATTGTGGGTAGGGAAACGCACCCTCGTCCAGTCTAGATTTGTTATTTGCCAAAGATGATGATTTACAATTAGGGCTTAGTGCAATAGTTATTCTGGAGTTCAGCTTTAAGACATGGGCCACTGGAAGTGCATGTTTATAGCATCTGCTTCTTTCTTTAGTTTTGGACCTCACAATAATGCAGATTGGGAGTATGATCGTTCCCACTCAGTGACTCAGAATGTGCTGAAGCCAGAAACACCTGGAAACTGGCTGCATCAGCAATGGCAAAATCGGTATTTCCAATTTCTGTATTATGGGTTTCCCTTAAAGTTGACCTAGCAGGAACAGATATATTTTTTTCATGTGAAATTCATGGATGCTAAGTAATGTGTCAATGTGCTACTTCGAGGTGTTTGCTGCTCACAAAAATATCACAGTACTCCCCCTTACAATGCCTTCACCAGCTTTACTTTCTAGAAGGGCCACCCCATCTTTGTTCAGGCATCATCCAGTATTACCATCTACTTCCCAGACTGACTTGCCAGCTCAGTGATGATATAAACATGTAATTCTGGCAGCCTCTCACCTTTGTGAATTGCAGCAAAGTTATAATGTGACAATGTGATCACTTGGGAAGGGGAGGCAGAGGTAATGCGTCCTCCTGACTTCAGCAGACTTATGACATTATCTCAGCCTAGAGAAAGTCACTGGACTGGAGCTCAAGGATGGGTTTTTAGAGTTAAGAAGTAGGGTTTTAAAAAAAAAAAAACCCAAAATCTATACAATGTTTGTGACAAGTTGGGAATTTATTTCATTCAGAGGTTACTGAATGGTTCACTTTAAGTGTGAGCCAGCTTGCTATGCTCCAGCTATATGCGTTCAGATGTTAAAGACCTGCTGTACGGGAGCAAGGAGCTACAAAAGCTTAGTCCAGCCATTCTCAACCAGAGTTCCTCCAGAGATTTGCTAGGGATACCTTAAGGTGCAGCTGATTGACCTTTTATTCAAGATGCCTACATAGTTCCGTGTCCACTACCACTTGCTAGTGCCAACGCTATGGCATTCTTCCAACTAACCATCAATGTAAGGAACATTCTTCCCACTAACCATCAACGTAAGGGACATTCTTCTCACTGACCTCGAATGTAAGGAACACTCTTACCAGTGACCATCAATAAAAGAGACACTCTTCCCAGTGACCATCAATAAAAGGGACACTCTTCACAGTGATTATCAATCTAAGGGACTTTCTTCTCACTGACCATCAATATAAGGGACTTTCTTCTCACTGACCATCTATGTAAGGAACATTCTCCCCACTGATCATCAATGTAAGGAACATTCTTCCCACCGACCATCATATAAATGGGACATTCTTCCCATCGACCATCAATATAATAAGGACATTCTTCCCACCGACCATCTATATAAGGGACATTTTTCCCACCGATCATCAATATAAAGGGACTGTCTTCCCAACGACCATCAATATAAGGGACTGTCTTCCCACCGACCATCAATATAAGAGACTGTCTTCCAACCGACCATCAATATAAGGGACTGCCTCCCACGGACCATCAATATAAGGAACTTTCTTCCCAGTAAAAATAAATATAAGGAACATTCTTCCCAGTGACCATAAATATAATGGACATTCTTCCCACTGACCACCAATGTAAGGGACATTCTCCCACTGACCACCAATGTAAGGAACATTCTTCCCACTGACCACCAATGTAAGGGACATTCTTTATTCCCACTGACCTCCAATGTAAGGGGCAATTCTTCCACTGACCCTCCAATGTAAGGGGCATCTTTCCCACTGACCACCAATGTAAGGGGACATTATTCCGCACTGATCACCAATGTAAGGAGCAATCTTCCACTGACCACCAATGTAAAGGACATTCTTTCCCACTGACCACCAATGTAAGGGACATTCTATTCCCACTGATCACCAATGTTAAGGAGCTATTCTTCCCACTGACCACCAATGTAAAGGACATTCTTCCCCACTGATTCCTCCAATGTAAGGGACATCTTTCCACTGACCTTCAATGTAATGGGACATTCTTCCCCACTGATCTCCAATGTAATAGACATTCTTTTTTTACTACTGACGTACCAATGTAAGGGCGACATTCTTCCCACTGACCACCAATGTAAGGGACCTTCTTCTCACTGACTAAACCCCAATGTAAAGGAGCATTCTTCCCACTATTTATCACCAATGTAAGGAGCATTCTTGCGCACTGACCTACCCACCAATGTAAGGGGCATTCTCCCACTGACCCCCAATGTAAGGGGCATTCTTCCCAATGACCCCCAATGTAAGGGGCATTCTTCCCACTGATCACCAGTAAATTGGTTTAACAGCTCTACCCTGAGACCTGAAAATCATTTCAGAAGTTCCTCTAGGGTAGTATGGGTATCTTTATAGTGCCCCCCGCGCTCCTGTTTGTGTATCTATAAATCTATATCCAATCTGTTCTCATTCTGATTGGTAAATAACTAAATAAATCAAATATAAATCATTGTGATAAGTGATAGTCCATAGACTGATATATCTGGATGATTACCAATATATTATTAGTACATTCAATAAATAAATGGTAATAAACATATGAGTGTAATTACTGCCACTCTAAATTATATGTGATCAATCAAACCCTAATTGTGCAAAAAAAAGCATATTTAAATGTGCACGTGCATAAGTTCATAAACAAATACAGTCTTTTAGAAAGTGCAAAAAGTGCAGGTGATTCCTTAATTCCAGGTGTCTTGTGGTCTCCCTATGTGCTCACCTTTATATTTGCCTGAATAAATTCAGGCAAATAGACTTTTTGATCCTTCCAGGATCAGTGGGTTAGTATTCATGTGTTAGATATTCCAAGGTATAGATGTAGGTGCTCCTGTTCTCTCCTCCTTCTTCTTATTCAGCTGCTCATACACCGATAATAAGACCAGCTTTATCTCCTAATTCCCCCTCCAGGGTCACCTCCTTCTCATATCCTCCTTCCACCAGTGTGGAGTTTGAGGGTCAGATGTGGAAGAAAAGAAAGGAAACCATAGTGTCTTATCCTTTTAGAATATTGAAATTTATTTCTGCCTGTAGTGGTATTACAACAGCAATATGCGGTTCCTTGGTGGTCCAGGGCAGCATAGATATCACAGTTAACAGTAAGTAATCCTCTACCACTGCTCTCCCTCCTTGCCTGCCTCTGCCTTCGCTGGAATCGCCGAGCCTCTCCGATGCAACGTCGTGACGTCAGAGAAAGTCCGTCATCCTGTGTGAACAAATATTGTTTTTTTAACAAACTGTATTGCTGCTGTGCATCTGTGCACTGCACAGAACATATTGCTGCACTAAACATCTACATTGCAAAATCTGGTGTTTGTTAATCATCTCTGTAAAGATTCCAAGAGTTCCAAGTGCATAGCAGGTGTATCATATCTGCTGATGGGGGGGCGTACGTAGACTTATTGTAAACTATATCCATAGAAAACTATGAAACACTCATGGAATAATTTCACAGTCCATGTTCTCTAGGCTTCCAGAGGACGATGACAATATTTAAATCCCTACTGGATTGCCAATTGAGCTACACCAGGTGAAATCCATTGGAATCATTCAGTGGCGTGACTGAGTTCTGCAAGTCAGGTGAAATGCATAATTTTAAGATTTTATGGGAGTATACCTTTAAAGGGAATGTGTTTATGTGTTATGCACACACTTTATTAGGTACACCTGTTCAATTGCTTGGTAACACAAATTGCTAATCAGTCAATCACATGGCAGCAACTCAATGCATTTAGGCATCTAGATGTGGTGAAATCGACTTGCTGAAGTTCAAACTGATCATCAGTATGGGGAAGAAAGGAGATTTAAGTGACTTTGAATGTGGTATGGTTGTTACTTGTTGGTGTCAGATCAGCAGTTTTTTTAAATACTCAGACCTGCCCATCTACTGGGATTTTCACATAGAACCATCTCTAGGGTTTACAGAGAATGGTCCAAAAAAGAGAAAATATCCAGTGAGCTGCAGTTATGTGGATGAAAATGTCTTGTTGATGTCAGAGGAGAATGAGCAGACTGGGTGCTGCGACATTCAGATGGTAGGGTCAGAATTTGGCATAAACAACATGAAAGCATGGATCCAACCTGCCTTGTATCAGTGGTTCAGGCTAGTGGTGTAATGGTGTGGGGGATATCTTCTTGGCAGTAGCAAGGTGTAGCTAATAAAGTGGCCGGTGAGAATATATTTTCTATATCTTGTTGAAGCCTACAAGATAAAAAGTTTAAATATATATTTTAATACCTAGCCAAGCAAATTTACACCAGCTGGAGCTCTAGACTTCTCTAGACTCTCAGACGCTGGAGCTCTAGACCTCTAGATTTCTAGACTCTGGAGCTCTGGACTTCTAGGCTCCTCTAGACTCTGGAGCTCTGGACTCCTCTGGACTCTAAGACTCTCGAGCTCTAGACTCCTCGACTCTGGAGCTCTAGACTCCTCTTTACAACTTTACCAAGCTAACCTTAACTGCTCAGCTGAAAAATAACCCTGTTTACAGGACAGAATAGCTGGAGTTCAGACTATACACATAACTGAGCTCTAGACTCCTCTAGACTCTGGAGCTCTAGACTCCTCTACTCTGGAGCTTTAGACTGCTCTAGACTTTGGAGCTCTAGACTCCTCTTCACAACTTTACCAAGCTAACCTTAACTGCTCAGCTGAAAAATAACCCTGTTTACAGAACAGAATAGCTGGAGTTCAGACTATACACATAACTGAGCTCTAGACTCCTCTAGACTCTGGAGCTCTAGACTCTGGAGCTCTAGACACCTCTAGACTCCTCTACTCTGGAGCTCTAGACTGCTCTAGACTTTGGAGCTCTAGACTCCTCTTCACAACTTTACCAAGCTAACCTTAACTGCTCAGCTGAAAAATAACCCTGTTTACAGCACAGAATAGCTGGAGTTCAGACTATACACATAATTGAGCAAGGTCACTGATCAACAGATAAATATATGGTGTTTTTCTGTGTTGTCTATATACAAGCTAGGTATTGACACCTTTATATTGTACTTTATCTTCATTTGACAGTTTAAATTCACCAACTAGTCTCTATAATACAAGAAGATTGGAGTCACACTCCATAGTCAGCTCATCCTAATATTTTATTTCAAAATCAATAAACCAGTTGCAAACATATAATTTCCCCCAGGAAACCTCACACCCCACGCGTTGGGCAGTGTGGTTTCGTGGGGAGGAGATTACATGTATGCAGCCACTTTATTACTATTGGAATAAATTATGAAGACAAGCTGACTACGGCCTGCATCTTCTTGTATTCGTATGTTGTAGTGGAGATGGACTACAAGAGCCAGCAACCGGATGATCCATGAATGTGAAGGGCTAGAGTTGCTGTGGAATTGGGTATGCCGTCACCACTGAACTACAGCATATAAATCCACCACCCAACTTTATCTACAAGTAACAGTATTACCCCCTTTTACAACATATTTATCTACAAGTATTACGGCTTTTTATTTTTGTTTAATTCAATTTTATTTTGATCTTCTATATGCTACTTACATATTACTTACAATGAGAGGAATTTACTAAACTGGAGCAGATAGAATTTGTAGCTGTGGATTTCAACCAATCAGCTTCTAGCTCTCATTTTGAAAACCTAACTGAACAGGCTGAAGCTAGAACCTGATTGGTATCCATGCTCAGATGCTCCAGTACAAAAAAAGGTCCAAAAAAACGGCCACTGCCCCAGTCTATAACTGGCCTTCACAGCAGTAGGCCTTCAGCTGCTCCAGTGGTACTTATATTCCCTCCTAGGAGCAGCACAGCGGCTAAATGGTTAGCACTTCCACCTGGCAGTACTAGGGTTGCTGGTTCAAATCCAAACCCCGGCACCACCTGCCTGGAGTTTACATGTTCTCCCTGTGACTGCGTGGGTTTCCTCCCACACTCCAAAGACATGTTGGTAGGTTAATTGTCTCCTGTCTAAATTGGCCCTAGCAGGGGTGGACTGACAACTCATGGGGCCCCTGGGCAATAGGGGATCATGGGGCCCCTGTGTCCTTGCCCAAACTCAAAAAAGCCTATGAAAAAGGTACCAGGGGCATCTCATGGGGCCCCCTACTGACCCTGGGCCCTCGGGCAGTGCCTGAGTTTCTAAATGGTCAGTCTGTCCCTGGGCCCTAGTATGTATATGAATGTGAGAGTTAGGGACCTTAGATTGTACACCCCTTGAGGGTTAGGGACTGATGTGAATGTACAATATATATGTAGAGTGCTGTGTAAATTGATGGCGCTATATAAGTACCTGAAATAAATAAATACATTTGTATAAGGCCTTGTGCACACTAGGCTCTTCTGAATGCCTTTCTCCTCAAGGGAGAAAAGCAGAGTTAAAAACGCACCTAAAATTGCATCTTACAAATGCATTTAGACGCATTCAGGTGCATCAAGCATTTGGGCGTTCATTCATTTAATTTGCCAGAATAATAATTTATTCTGGCTATTGAAATGAATGAATGCTTAAATACTAAATGCTCCTAATGTTTAGACATGTTTAGATGTGTTCAGGCACACTCAGATGCATTCAGGTACATGTAGATTTCTGCCCCTAAATATTGTGCTTTTAAATGCCTATCTGTGCATAGACACAAAGGATAACATAGAGGGGCATTTAGGGGCAGATGAAGAAAAACGTAGCTGTAGTGTGCATGAGGCCTTATGTGTATATTTATTAGTCTTGATGAAGGGGCTGGAAATTCCAAAAATGCGTAGACTTTCCGTAAAATATCATCAACCTTTGCATACACCTAAAAGTATGACTTTGTGATCTTGTTCTTGGATTAGTTGTACTAACCCTCAACAAGGAGTGAGGCTCTTGCATTATACACTAAATTGCCAAAAGTATTGGTTGGCCTGCCTGTACACACACATACGTAGATTTTATTGGCATTCCAGTTTTAGTCCGTAGGGTTCAATATTCAGTTGGTCTGCCCTTTGCAGCTATAACAGCTTCAACCCACAAGGTTTAGGAGGGTGTCTATGGGAAGGTTGGACCATTCTTCCAGAAATGCATTTGTGAGGTCAGGCACTGATGTCGGGGGAGGAGGCCTGGCTCGCAGTCTCCGCTCTAATTCATCCCAAAGGTGTTCTGTGGGGTTGAGGTCAGGACTCTGTGCAGGCCAGTCAAGTTCCTCCACCCCAAACTGGCTCCTCCATGTCTTTATGGATCTTGCTTTGTGCACTGGTGTGCAGTCATGTTGGAACAGGAAGGGGCCATCCCCAAACTCTTCCCACAAAGTTGGGAGCATGA